TGTGCAGCGAGACCACACACCCCATAATAAAAAAAAAAAAAAAAAAAAAAAAAAAAACCCTCTCCAAAAAAAGAAAAAAAAAAGAGAAAAAAATAAATGAATAAATAAAATAAATAAAATTTTTTTTAATTTTATTTATCCATTTATTTATTTATTTAAATTTGACCAGAGAGGGACAGAGTGGGAGAGAAAGAGATGGCATGGCCATTCCCTTTGGGGAGTGAATTCTCCTGTTCTTTCTCTTTCTGTCTCTCTCCAGAGAGCACATGTATCCTGTGGCAAAAATGTTTTAAAAACAAGAAAAAAAAAAAAAAAAAAAAAAAAAAAATATCCAGTCAGAAGAGCCAAGAAGGCTCTCCCTCTATATAGAGATATGTCAGACAGCTAGCTTCTCTGTTTCTGTTTTTTTTCCCCCAAAGAAAAACTTTCTTTTCTTTCCTTTTCTTTTTTTCTTTGAGAGATTTTTTGCTATAGGATGAGTGCACTGGTTGGAGAAACAGAGAAAAAGAAAGCAGGAAATCATCCAGGTGGGATGGCCACACTGCAATACCTTCTCCATTCTCCTCTCAGGATTTTGGGCATGCACGCACACACACCTGCCATGAGTTTTAAGCTGCCAAGTCTGAGACTTGAACTGCAGTTGACTACGCCTTAGTCCAGCAACATAACTATTTTGCCATTTACCGGCCCCCCAAAAAAACTTTCTATAAGATTATTGAGTTGCAATAGAAATTCTTTCTCTTTTTTAAAGAATGATTTTATTTTATTTATTATTATTGTTTTCCATTTTTCCCAGTAAGAGAGAGGGAAAGTGAGAAAACAAGCCACCAGATCCAGGACTTGAACTGTGGTCAACCATGTAGGAGTCCAGCACCTCAACCTCCACACTAACTGCTGGCCCCGAGTTGCAAAAGAATTTCAACATCAACTTTGAAAAAGACAACCAGTTGTACTATTAACTAGGAATAGGCCCCATAGACAAGATTACTTTTCTGTCCTAGATTATTTAAGACAAAATGAGATAGACAGTCTCAGTTTCCTCATCTATAAAATGGCATTAGTGGAGCCAGCAGATGGTGTAGTGGATAAGGCACTGGATTTCCACAGGCTGACCACAATTCAAGTCTTGGGCCCAGTGGCTTAAAGACCATGCCAGCCATGTGTGCCCAAAATCCCAGGAGGAAAACGTAGGAGAAGGGATTGCATCATGGCCATCCCCCCAGGGGGAGATTTATTACTTTCCCTTTCTCTGTCTCTAGCGAATGCACATGCACTATGTCAAAAACCTTAAAAAAAAAAAAAAAAAAGGCACTAATAACCACAACACACCTCATTATCACAAGGAGTGTTTATAATTAAGTTGCGATGAATGTGAAAGTACTTTGCAAACGAAAAAGATTACACACACATACACGTACAAATAAACAAACCGTAGACAAGACTGTATCTTTCCTCCTTTGGCCACAAAAGCCAGAAAACCTTTTATCGTAACTATTATACTGCAGTCTGGCTATGCTGAAATCATTTGAATGGGTGGTTCTATATAAATAATAAACAGCTATACACCAAGGATAAGATTCTGTAGGTTCTCAGGCTCTTTAGCATTTAGTATCCTTCTTTTTGTTGGGGCAAGGGTTGGACTGAAAAGAGAAAAGACCCTTCAGAAAAGGCTTTTTTTAAATTATTTTTTGTTTAATTTTTTATTCATTGTCATTATTTTATTTTATTTAAGGTGACCAGAGAGAGACAGAGAGAGAGAATAGGAAAGTGAGAAAGCAAGCTGCCAGGTCTGGAAACTGTGGTCAGCCACGTGGGAGTCCAGCTGCCTTAACCACCACGACGCCACCTGCCGGCCCCATATTTTTATTTTTTTAAGAATTACTTTATTGGGGCCATTGGGGCCGGCAGGTGGCATGGTGGATAAGGGGGCTGGACTCCCTCATGGCAGACCACAGTTCTAGTCTTGGACCTGGTGGATTGCTTTCTTACTTTCCCTCTTTCTCTCTCTGTGTCTTTCTGGTCAAATTAAAAAATAAAATGAATGAATAAATAAAATTAAATAAGTAATTTAAAAAAAAGAATTATCTTATTTAGGGCCAGCAGGTGGCATGGTGGTTTATTAAAGGTGCAGTTATTCCCACATGTCCAGCTGTGGTTCAAGTCCTGGACCTGGCAGCTTGCTTTCTCATTTTTCCTTTCTCTCTCTGGTCAAATTAATAATAATAATAATAATAATAACATACATATAGAATTAAATAAGTAATTTTTAAAAGAGCTATTTTATTTAACTTTATTTATTTTAATTTGACCAGAAAAAGGGAGAGACAGAGACAGAGAGAATGTGAGAGGGAAAGTGAGTAAAGCAAGCTGCCAGGTCCGAGACTCAAACCGCAAATGGCCATGTGGGAGGCCCAGCACCCTTAATCACCATGCCACCTGCCAGCCCCCAGAAAAGGCTACTTTTAAAAGAACCAATTGAAAGGTAAATTCAGTGAGCACACGGCAAGCTAATATGTCCCTAAAGCAAAGAGAGAACACCTCCGTGTTTTAACCAGGGCTGTCCTAATCCCCCCCTTTCTTTGGGCCAGAGGGTATGCTAGCCAGAGAGAAACAGGGAAAGGTGAAAGCACTCCTTCCCATGGGGGATGGTCACACTGAAATCCCTTCTTCATTTCTCCCTCCTTTCAGGATTTTGGGTTTACACACATACACATACACTCAAGCTATAAGGTCTGGGACTTAAACTGCATTAAACCATGTGGGATCTAGCTGCCTTAATCACCAGACCACAGAACTGGCCCAACTCTTTTTAATTATTAAGTTCTAAAGTCTTCTCAAGCTCACTGTGGACCAATAGGCAAGAAGTAGGCAGCACAAACATCTCTTCAGCTTACAAAGGGCAAATGGGAAGCTGACTTAAAGCACTAAAGAAAAAATTTTAACAGACCGGCCAAGTGGTGAGGTGGTTAAGGCACTGGATTTCAGATGTCTGATTGTGCGGTTTAAATCCTGGAACCTGTGGCTCGAAAAACACACCAGGCACATGTGCATGTGTGCCCAAAATCCCAAGAAGAGAGTGGAGGAGAGGGAACTGTTATATGGTGATCCCTCTAAGAGTATTTTCTCACTTTCTCCCTTTCTCTCTGTAGAGCATATTGGCAAACTTGGAGGGAGGGAGAACTTTAGCTTTTCTTTTTTTAAAGAATTACTTTATATAACTTTATTTATTTATTTATTTTAATTTGACCAGAGAGGGAGAGTGAGAGGGAGAGTGAGAGAGAGAGAGAGAGAAAGAGGGAAAGTGAAAAGCAAGCCACCAGGTTTGAGACTAGAACCACATCAGCCATGTGGGAGTTCAACACCCCTAACTACCATGCCACCTACCAGACCCA